GGCACGTGCCACSACCAAAAATGTAAATAAAAAATGTATATATAATACTGTCAATTTACGGTTATATATTACGGTGAAAGGACTTTTTTCTCACGGAATTTTATGTTTGTGAAAATATGTAATAAAACATTAATTTATTAACTCTACGCCTATATACAGTATATTATAAAGTACATAATTCCATCCATTAGCTAATAATATAAATTATTATTTACCATAACAGATGTGTGCGCGAACAGAGACTCCACAGTTATTGTTATKCAAATATTCAATTACTATTTATAATAACAATATATTATAGTATGTTTGAAATAATGGTCTTACACATCAACCCATGAACAATTATTGATAAAATAATAAGCAAATCAAAAATAAAATATATCGTTGTCAATACACGTATTTTCAAGAGAAAACTTTTTCGTGTTTTGCAGAAAAAAAATTTGACGTTATACAATTATAAACAGAAAATACGCSACAATATCAAAATTATAGGTTTATAGTTATTTACCCCATATACAGTTATTATAAGCAATATCAAGTTGTTAAACTTTAAACACATTTCTATAGTTGAGATGATTATAGTGAATCAACGACATTTATAACCAGTGCGATRATAATGTTCATAATAAAGCTAATTGATATCACATAAAAGCAGAAAATAATATTTTACKAAAAGAGAATATAATTCATACTAAAAATATATTAATATAATTAATATTCAAGTTAAAAAATCATACTATATACAGTAAAAACCTCGTCCACATGAATATAATAGACTTGATGCATGTATCACAAATGGGTTATAGAGAATTCACATATAATGTATTATATTATGAAGTGTCTTTCTGTACAGGATAGATGTATTATTTACACCAATTAAAAAAAGAAATCAAATTCTATTTTTTTTTTTTTTTTTTACTTTGTATACTCACCGCATGTACCGTATTTTAATTGTGTTCCGAACAAAGAAATAAATTACATAACAAAATACGTATACATGTGTGCTAATACGGGAGGAGTTAAAGAGTGTTAGAAGAGTATCAAACTATATACTATTATGTTATAATAAAATAGGTTATAACTTTAAACACTTTCAAATCTGTATAAAGTACCATAGTTATAAGACATAATACGAGCCAATATTATGTGAAATTTAATAAGTATGGACTGCTATATATAAAAAATATTATAAAATAAACGACAGAGATTAGAGAAATTGTGTTACACTAAAAATCTTGAAATGTAATGTAGTAGAAAATATTTATCGTTCATATATATATATATATATATATATATATATTACATTATATGATTTAAATAAACGTCACATAACATTACGCCAACAATTAATATAATTAACAAACATAAACTATAAAAATCATAAACTGCATTGTATTATAACAAACAAGATATTTTTCATTTATTGATTTTTTGACACGCATAGCTACTGTATATCCGAATAACATTAAGGAAATTAAGGGTGAAGTACCCCCTTGTTCGCCGTGATAAACCACAAAAAAAGTACTTTATGGACGTGGGTGTACCGTGCAGTATGCATGTTTGCACTAAACATGATTGAAACCAAATATTATGATGATGACTCAGTTATAAAACTGTTTTTAATAAATGTCAAAAAAAATTGTTGCCATAGTCGTACATATACACTTCTATAAGAAGAGGAAATCAATTTTTTACTTATATTGATGTAAAATATGACACATGCAATAGCTGTTTGAACTTAAATAAAATCATAGCACTATTGTAGTATTGGGTATTGAAAAATCAAGCAGTAGGTATACAAACAGAAAAAAATGACAAAAATATAAGCCACAAAACTATTGTTGACTAGAATAATCTCAACAGAAATGTTCGTGTCCAGTATGTTTGATGTTTGTGAAATTGGTGAAGGCAGGATGTATTATTAAGATTGATGAGTCTCTTTTCCAAGTTAAAAGAAAATATAATCGAGGAGTATGATTTTTTACAAACAATGAACCATGCGATACAGATAACAAATAGAAATATAAGACAATGATTATAATATACATAATTATGGCCAATGATTTTCGGTCTTTCTCGTAATAACAATATTTTAAATAACATTTTCAGTATGGAAAAGAACATCTGGAATAACACTTATCTCTATAATATTGAACGAAGTGCAATCAGATACTTTAATTTATTTCAACCAATGCAAGATACATCACTCAATAAACAGTTACAATTAATGAATTAAATTACAATTACATCACGCTATAAACACCACCATTTTTTAGAAATCAACATTGTAAAAGCCGGAACTCAAACCATTAAAACGTAATAGCGGAACGAAAAATTTTAATACGCGGAGAAAAARCGAGAGGTGCTAAAACATTTTAGAAAGACACTTAAAGAAGAACGGAAGCGACCTATCATCCTACTAATACATTTAAATCGTTTTTACGCAATTACTACAAAGTTGTTTACTTGCGAACAATAAATTAATTAACAAACTAACAAATGATACTCATTTACCAGCTACTGGCTCTGAGAGTATTATTAATTGGAATAAATAATAATATTACAATATTATAGGTATATTATCTAGGACAATATGTGACATTATATTAAATAAACCAGGTTAAAAATACAAGTTGATCGTCGGTTAAACGATTTCATTTTTATTTTTATTTTTTTTAATATTTTAGCAAATTTTAAATAACATTATCCATTATCTGTATTTTAATAACAATATATCAGGTATAGGTATAGYGGGGTTGGTTTAATATTAACTGCCGGTCATTATTCTGAAAATAAATCGGTTCACGTAGCGAAAAATAATATAATTTCGTATATATTTTTCGTCATTTTCGAATATCATGCTCGTCAGCAATGATCGTTTGCGGTATATGTTGTTTTAAATGCTCCCAGGAACGAATGCACAGGAAAGCTTTTACTGAAAACGCACTCATATACGGTGCCAACGCATGGATGGATATCATCATTATTCCCGTATATAGTCCATATAAAGTCATGCAATATAGAAATGTCAAGGAAACACTACAGAAAACGGGATGTATGGAAGAGATCGACGTCTGCCGCGGACCGCAATATTATACATATATATATATATATATATGAGCGTGTGTGTGTGTGTTTCTATCTGTATAGTGTATACGAGTATATATATTTTTTTCTAATATATATATATATATATATGAGAAGCGTATCGATTTTTCAATCAAAGACCAACCACGACCACTTCTAAAGAAAAAAATATATTATATACTCCCACTTACATATTTTATACTCCGTTACACAATGTATATATATAATATATTTTAATATAAATATAAACACTCTTGGAGTAAAAAAATAAATAATATAATTATTATTTCATAATAAACTTAGCACCTACCAACGTCGGTTTTATTTTAATTAAATGACAGAAAAGCTTTTAAAAGCAACACTAATACAATTCGTGTAATATAACATGTATCAGGTATTATATTAGATGTACTGCAACGTTATAATGAGAGTATTATTTTCTTCAGCCACAATGAAAAATATATATTATTATTGTGTTGAGAAAGAGTGGTTGTTCAATCTATATTAGCTTTTGGCATAATTTTAACTAAAACATTAATCCAAGTGGCAACTTGCACATTTCATTTTAAATAAAAATTGATTTCTAGGTACAAATAATAATACTATGATATCATTATTTATTTATTGGTTCTAATAAATTGTTAACTATAAATGCAAATAACTAAATTTAAAAATATTTATACTAGTATACCTATAAATGTTACATGAAAAATATATTGATGACTTTTGGAGAATTTAATTCAATATATTGTGAAAAAGTATTTAGACGAATTCTTTTCATCATTCAATACTATTATGAAGCACCTGATTGATACTGACACAACACTACATGAGCACCGCAGTACACGACGAATAAAGGCTTTTATGATGGTAATCATATATACATATTGTATAAGTATATTGTATTGTACCTATACTATMCACGACATTTCCAGAATAAACGACATGTTATAACTATACGTCACGGAATACACGAGTGCGATCGTTCTGTCGTCTGAAAGGGATCATTTAAAAGGATTAGTCATATTTGAGTCGGACACAAAAACTAGACAATTCAATAATAGTATGTACTGACAAATAACATACTTGGTTTTAGAGACTTCACATTCAATGTAGATATATATTTTATACGAAAAATCGTTGTTTGTGTTTCTGGCAATAAATTCACCACAAATCCGTTTACGATACGTGTCTTGAAAAAAAATCCTCTAGGAAATTACGGTAAACCTTAAATATATAATATAACATTATACCTACCCGTAACTCAGAGGACACAAGCACTGAATAAATATAATATATATAAGTTATATCAACATCGCGAATAATACATTATATACACACATGTATCTATACATACATATTATAAGATACATAACTAAACGAGTATTAAGTATATGTACATTGTACAATGTGCCTGTAAAAACGACGACGCGTATTGTTCATCATATTTTTTAAAAGAGTAAAAAAAAAAAAATTAAAGAGAAAAACCTAGGGATGTGCAGTGCAGTGAACACGACAATCTTCTACAAATAGGGGAAGATTCCCAAATCCTACTTAAGTGTTTCATCATATACATTATATATATAAACTCTCTTATATGTGTACAAAGAATAGCACGACAATAACAAGTCCTCAGACAATATAGATGTGCGACCTATATGTATAGGTACATAGAACGTGCAATCATAAAGCGTAATACATATTTTCATTATATAAATGGTGTCTCTAAGACGACTCTCTGAGGTTTGTACATATACCTTTATGTAAATAATATGGTACAATAATAGTCAAAGATTAAAAGTGACTGCATATATATATATATTATATATAGTATTATTACTGCAAGTGCTGTGATGTATAATAATAATGATGAATATAGTTATATTTATTTTTATATATAGGTAGGTACTCACTGAGTGTGGCATTGTTGAGTTTAGTCTGGTCCACTTGACCTCTGAGCGCCCGGAGCTTACGGAGCTTTTGTTCCTGAGCCTCGACCCTATCCCGGAGGCGGCGGAGCCGCTCGTGCTCCGCCGCCACCTGGTGGTGCTTGGCGTCGTGCTGTTTCAAATAGCGAAGTCGCTGCTCTTTGGCAGCCAACAACTGCCGCTGCGACTCGATCTGATGCTGTTGTCGGCACGCCATCTCTTCCAGCTCCCGGACCGTCAGTTCTGTGCCTGTTTCTCCCGACGTCGGTAACTGCAAGAAAAAAAAAATGTATTTTTATATTTATACAATATTTTACATGTTTTTTATATAAGTTTTTATTTTAGAGCTTTTTTTTGTTTATTTTTTTTTTATTCTCTCACTTCCCACCATACAAAATTCTCGAGTAATCGACCTCGACGACCATCACACGATACAATACAGTCTAAAACTAACTACGAATAAATATAGCTTATTGCATATCATTACGATTAGAAGAGATTTGACGGACGCAGTAAAAAGTGGTCGTATCAAGAACAAAATATGCGACGTCATCATATACGTCGCCCGGCTGAGCCGTTGACTGACGTTAATGCACACATCGCGGACGCATAATGGTACACTATTATAGTTTGTCATTATTTCTATTAGAGATMATTAAACGCATATTAAATCGCTTTTATTATTTGTATCGACGACGACGGCGTGTACCACAGATTCGGGTTCGTCATTTTGTTTTGTTTTTGCTGATTTTTTTTTCCTCGACCGTTCATATTATTTTTACATGCCATTTAAAACGTTTTATACGCGTAGACCGTACACAAAAAATGTAAATATTATATTATTATCAAAGTATGATAATGCATATTATATTATTATATGGATTTTACACTAAAAATACACCGTTATTCGACGACGTCGTGTCCATGTAGAATCCATTAACCGCGGCATATTATCAGTATGTGGATTTTGTTATACCCACCGACCGTATAAAAAAAAAAAAAACAACCAATAAAAGTCAATTTCCGTCCGCAATCTGCTTGTGCATAAACCTATACGCATGTGAAAATTTGACCTCGTTTACGAATAATAACAACAGACAAACCGAGCAATGGAGCATGGATAAACGAGGTATAGTTGCAGAAATAAATAATAAATAATTTGTTCTCCGGCGTCTTCGAAACGCGTTAATCTTCCGAATTACTTAAATGACTGTTATAGGTTATGATAGATTAGCATAGGATCGCCAACCTAACTAATACCCCGATATTCAAAAATCACCCTCGTAATAATCTTTGTGTTGTCAGTTTGTATGACGACAACTTCATCAGCGGTGATGGATTTCAATGGAAATCAACTAGAACGTGGTCAGTCGAATTTATGATCCACCACACAATATAATGTGTAACCTAATATATATAAATAAATATAAAAGTTTCATCTTGACGAAAATGTACCGTTTGTCGATGGTCGAACACCACAACAATGTACCCACTTAATATTAGTGAACAGTTGTACGCTATATATATAACGATGATACATAAAAATAATACTCGAATCCTCGAGGTTATTTTGAGAGAGAGGGAGAGAATAAGGAAAAAACATCACCAACAATAATATTAATAATAATTGCACACACACACGTATCACTCGTATATGCTTAATGAAAAACATCGTCAAGTGAAATAACTTCACGTCTATATTATTATTACGGAACAAAGCATACACGTATAAAGTACGAGTACTGTATAGTGTATATACTATATACATCAATAATATACCTACACAGTGTATTTTTTTTTCAACTATAATAATTAAAAAAAGTATTTTAAAGAAAAGGTGTGTACTCCTGAGCATGTAATACTATAATATCATATTCGCTATATAGGTTGGTTGGCCCGCCGAGATTTCCTTTTTTCTAGTGCTTATATTTAATGAAAAAAATAAAGATAAACGCCCCGAACGTAGCATAGGTACGTACAGTTATATCAATAAACCTGAAAATCTGCAATGTATAATATTTAGGTAGGTATATATGATATTATTTAATATGGTTTTATATCTAAATAAACACAAAAACGCTCTGATCCCTATATAATACTTATAATAATCCCTGCTCTAAATTTATAAAAAGGTGTGTGAAACAACATTAAAGCTATATCATTAATTATAACGGTTATACAATACACGAACGAGTTTTGCAGGGATGGCGTGAACATATACATGTATATGTATAAAAGCTACTAACCAAGCCAGTGGTGTGTATACATATTTCATCACAGACGGCATCGGCAGTCTGTTGACGCCCGTCGTTTTTTAAATTGTTTCTTTTTTTTTTGCATAATGGGTTGTTTTTTGCATCACTTTTTCTAACATTAATTTTATGGAAAATTTAATCGCACGGAAGAGTGAAAATCACAACTGTTACAGCCCTAAGTGTTTATTTAATTAAAGTGCGTATATGTGATATATACTTGGAAAAAATGATCTCATCTAATTGTTTTTTTTTAATATTTATGAACGATGTCAAGATCTCACACTCAACACATCGCATCGCGCATTATGATATTATTTAGGTACATATATAATATATATATATAACTTTAAAAACGCGTCCTACATCGCTAGATAGAAAAATACGTGATCCAGATCCGACGGTCACAAAAACATTAAATATAAATGAACAAGCATAATATATAGATTGGAAATTATTGTCAATAATGAAACAAATCTCGTTGATTTTTTTTCCTTTTCTTTACACGCGTGAGAATGGAAAGAATTACCACGTCCAAAACACAATATACAATTTCTGAAACCGGGACTAACCTGGTATATACCTACTATTTATACACGGATAAGTACCTAACTCTATGGACAAATATACCTATATGTTTATACAATATACTTGTATGTGTTTTATTTTTGATTGATTACGCGAGCGAGCTTCAGTGAACCACGTAAGTCGATCGGTCACGGACTCTCGAATTTTGCCCAGCAATAATATACTTATGAAGTTCCGGGTCAGGGTTGGCAAGTGGTGCGGGTGAGGAGGTAACAAAAATAAAATGCCATGGTTAATAACACGGTTTCTGAACACATGAGTCTATAAATATATATATRGCATACAATATGTTCGTGTGTGAAATTATAGCACGCGCAAGAGTTTGTGCTACCTTATTGCATTGAACATTTAAACGAATAAAATAATGTGAACGATTGAAAAAAAAGACAATTATAAGATAAAGTAGCCGTAGGTACATTTGTATATTAGGTATTATATCGATATTTTTACGATTTATTGCAGCGATTCTATACAACATTATCACGCTATAACTAAATATAAAATGGCATCTATATAGGGACGCAAAGGGAGGGAAGGTGTTGCGTAGTACAAAAGCTCATATACATATATATAAAAACATGCCCGTTTTATATTATATTCAGAGCAGTTGTTTTTTTATCACAAGATGGACAATGTATCTCATCTACACGTTAACGTTTATAGTGTTATACGCTTTTATTACTTTTTTTTTTATCGACTTGGATAAAAATGTTGTTTGAATATTGTACAACGAAAAATATTGTAGTTTGTGATTCTCGACACAAATAATTTCGTGAAAAAAAGAAAACCGCAACACTTTTCAAAACACTACATCGCGTCAATATATAGGATGACGTTGAATAAACATCGCATAAACGTCAAACGGTATGGAACAAAATAATTCGAACGTATATGGAGCGATATTCCTCCGATGGTAATTCATGAGCACAACCGGGAGATAGGATTTTGAAAAGAATAATATACATAATGTGCCGAATAAAAGACCTGAATAAAATATCATTGTATTTGTATTATCATATACGAAATATTGAAGTGCATGAGCGGCGTTCAAGATAAGACCACACGACTGAATAAAAAATCAATTCGACTAAAAAATGCCCGTACCAATGTATCACATTATTTAATTATACTCATCACACGCACTATACAGTTTCGAAACAAATTAAATACGTATGTATGTATGTATGTGTATGTGTGCTGTACTGCTGTGTATGAAACCTAACCTATGAAACTTACACATGAGGAAACTCGACATGATAATCCGAGAAATATATAGCAGCAATATGGTATCTAAACAGATAATAATATTTAATATTATGTGTGAATGAAGCAGTCGTCTCTCTACTTCCGCGATGACAATTGGTTACATCCGGTATTGAAAACGCGGTTCCCTCAGCTGACGTTTTCCAGAGCTATTTTCTTTTATTTCCATGCGATTTAATTCGTTTGAGTGTTTTCTGTTGTATATATTTTATTTATTTTATAATCTGAGGGGAAGGGAAAAAACGGGGTATAAGCCCACAACCACACGTGTGTGTCGGTGCACGCGATTATGCGTGTAAAATCGTCTGATATTGTCACTGCCAAACGCGTTCTTCTCCTTTAAGGTATCTCTCTCATTCACGTTTGTACATACCGTACACGGATATTTTATTCATAATATATACATATACCTACACTCACATACCAGGGTGGCATCGACGGAAGGAAACACACAAACATAAATCAAGCTCAACACCCTCGGTAGTGTGTGTGTGCAAATGCGAGTAAACGTTTTTGAAAACCCCGAGGGTGTGCTTTTATGTAAATCCATTTTCACATGATATTTTTCCCAAAACCCATCATCCATACCGTAATGGTTGGCATCATGCATATTGTTTTTAGTGTCGGCCACAATGGTTGTGTTTATATTTTATAAATAATATTTAARTATGTATTGAATATTATAATTAWGTGYATTATGTATATATTGTCGGTTTTAATGTATAGCCATTGCGAACTCAAACGACTGCATGACAAAGAACGGTTCAAAGGGCATCCCAATTCATTATCGCGCGGACGTGTTAACCGTCAGCACGACCCCACCGAAACCTTGTAAAGACAATCGGCGAAACCTTAAAAATACAATAGTCATGAACGTACCAACTCGACTCGTGCAGTATACCCACGAAAAATATAAAACTAAYATAATAATAATAATGCAAAACAATAATTATATAATATAAACATAGCTGGAACCATGCATTATACCTATACTACCCATGCACCTTCAGGTGTTCCATTTAAAACACACCATCGTGTGCGTACCCGGATTCGATTACGGCTCTTTGTGCTTGTTAATTGCAGAACTCGTGATTGTTAATTATTCTTGTAACCACACGTAACTGGTTACGTGGTATATATTAAAATAAATAATAATATGCCGGTACCT